TCTGCTTTGCCGACAGTCAGAGTAAAATTTTTTCTTTTTTTTTTTTTTTTTTTTTTTTAACGATCTCTTGTATTTTGTGGCGTCCCGCCCAGTCATATTTTTCAGTGTTGCAGGTGCACTTACACAATAAGTGCTCGTGAAGCCCTTACAGGGCTCATTTCGATCACAAATATGTCAACGCCGCGTCCTGTTGAAGGACTAAAGAACAGTTGGAGGGACATCTTTTCTCTCATTTCTAACACAGGCAGAAAGTGTTTAAAAAAATGACACCATTTATGGCAGATCTAAACTCTGTTCCGTGCTTTTTATTTTATTTTATTTATTTTTTTTCCTTTTTTTATCCGAATGAAGCACGGTGGTTGACTCACAGTGTTGGAGAGGTGAGCTAAGGCCTTGATGTGAAGCAACTCGTCATAGATGATCTCGAGGTCATCGCCTGTCCTCTGACCAGGCCTGCACACACACACACACACACACACACACACACACACACACACACACACACACACACACACACACACACACACACACACGCACACAAGTGCACGCGTACAGTCAGAGGGCAGTCACAATTAACTCACCATGAAGATGTCATGCAAGCTGTTTCTCTTATCCAACTGTGAAACCGCACATTTTTATGTTAAAGTCGGTATCAAAGGAAGTGGAATGAGTGATTGGCATGTACTGTAGCGTAAAAGGTTGCAAACTGGCGCATATCATGAAGAAGTGGTTCCCGCAGAACGTTGTGTAGGTCCGACCAAATGTGAATGCCTTCCGTGCAACGACGTCGCGTTACTTACGACTTCCTGAGGATCATGCGCAGCAGCGCATCCGGTCCAATCTGAGCGAGGAAGAGGATGGTCTCCGGCAGTTCCTCTTCACTTTCCCGCTTCTCTTCCTCGCTCGGCAGCGGCGTGTCCTCCTCCTCGTCATCGAGAAAGCGGTAGAACAGGTACTTGTCCTGGAAACCTAGTTCCTGGTCCACTTGAGAGGGAACCGGAACGCAAAAAAAAATCACTCTGATTAAACACAAAAGCAAGCCTCATCATATTTACTTCCAACTGTCCAATTGATTTTAAGTATGTGTTTTTAGCCGGTGAGTAAGCAATAAAAAAAAAAAATAAAAAAAAAAATGAAGTAAGAGAGAATGAGAAGTTGTTGGATACCGTGATTCAGCACCTGATCTTCAAGCAGTGCCTGCCACATGCCAACAGCATGGGAACGAGTAAGAACGCATGCACTCTGCAGCACGAGCCAGTCCACGAGTTCTGTGCCTACGCAGCATTGTCTGCGATACAAAGTGACACGGCGTGAGAAAAAAAAAAAAAAAAAAAAAGTCGGACAGATTTTGAATAGCATCACCTGTATGTCTTGAGGTGATATTTCCTGTCTCGGATCATGTGAGGAGCTCTGGAGAGGATGGCGTTGCGGAGAACTTTACCCGCTCTCTGGAGCTTTTCCGTGGGCATCTACACAACACCAGAAAGGCACAGGAAATGAAACCATAATTCATTTTTTCCTAACCATCTGCTCCAAAAATGAAATGCGAATTCAAAACATGAAAGTAGATGAAACGTGAGCCGCGTCACTCGTACATGTTGTAGCACTTCCACAAATTATATTGTCATGTTCTAAGTATTCCAAGCTCGAGAGATCGTAGCTGTCTGTGCCATGCATGTATGCAGATAAAAAAAAAAGGTGCCCAGTTCACACCTGCATCTAAAGGGGGGCACATGTGTGTGCGCTCACTGCAGAGCGAAAAAAAAAAAAAAGGTGCCCAGTTCACACCTGCATCGAAAGGGGGCAGATGTGTGTGCGCTCACTGCAGCGCACTTCAAAGCAACAAAGGAAGGTGCACTAATTGGCCCGATAGGATCTTTCTTCCGTGTGCATGCATTAACTAGTATTAGCATAACTATAGAGGATCAGAGTAGTGAGTCATTGCTTGTCTCTGCTCATAGAGCACACACACACACACACACACACACACACACACACACAAACACACACACGCCACTATTCTGGCATTCTTGTTCATTCACAGACATGAAAGTATGCGGCGGTGCACGACGGTTCTATTTTTACACACGGTAAAATGTCCATCTATAATCCTTTTGACACAAACAATCATGTCAGTTCAATGTGGAAGGAGCATATTTGCCTTTGGGGGTAGTCATCATTTCTCTGAATGGGTTGAATTATGAATAGGGTGCTCCTCGCAGACTTGAAGCCCGAAACATTGAATAGTTACCTTATTATGAGTTTTGTTTGCAGAGTCTGAGTTCATCTTGTCTTTGTCGGCAAGTCCTGAAGAGAAAACCATATTCAGAAGTGGGGTTGGCTGATATATATTTTTTTTTTTCCCCAGGAAAGCAGGCCTTTCTCATTTGTTGACAATGAGGTGCATTCAGGCGACGTGCAAACTAAGTCGAGTGGTGCCTTCAAATACGAGTCGACGCTTGGACAGTTTTTTACGCTGACTGACTGACAGTCAACACAACTCAACTCATTTGACAACAAGCAGAAGTTTGAGAGTAAACAAAAAGGGGCATGGTGCTGTTTATTGCGACTCCCGTTTGAAATTTACTGTCAACGGAAACATGAAACAGAGACAATTACACGTTATGTATTTAAAACAAGGACATAACTTTGTGCACGCAGAATGGGAAACATCTTAGATGGGCAAATGAAAAGTATTGATGCCGTGGATTTCTAACACATTCAGCAACGGATATTTGAGCACAAACGGTGGGGCAGTTCATGTAGATGGGTAATAGGAATACTTAGAGGCCTGTATCAATAGTCCTCCTCTGTGAAGAACAACTAATATTGCTGTGATTTAAGAGTAACTCGCGACAGTACCCGTGCATAACCATATACTGCCCCCAGCTGGCCAAAACGTGCACAACAGAACGGGCAGCACCATGTCCACTGAATTGTTGCAAAATCTCTTCCATTTATTTGCATTCCATTGCATTGTCGTTAATGTATGTTTTTAAATATGTACAATATCCTAGAGTGCCCATTTCTATTTAAAACCACATTCCAAACTTTTTTGTGTAGGCCGGAACGTATAAATCGCATTTCAATTCATCTCAATGTACAAAGACGATTTGAAATGCGAGTGTTTTCAGTTATGAGGATGACAACGGAAGGAATTAAACTTGTATCTCAAGGCACACTGGATTTTGAACGGTACAACATCACCATCTCACAACCGAGGTCCAGTAAGGAAGCACGCCAGTCTTATCTGCAAGTTGACTCACTGTCATTGTTGGATCCACTCTCCATTGCTCCATAAGGAGGAGCCAACAGTCCAGCCAAGCTCTGACGATGCTTCTGCAAATCCAAACGCACACGAGTACATCGCATTACATTTGCTTCACCAACAAACAAATAAGAAAGTTGGTTCCACCCGAGAACCCGCATATGCAAACACACGTACTGTGATTGCAAAACATGGACATTTACAGATACAGTAGGTACATCAAAGATGACGAAAGCAAGAGATAAACCACTGAAACTAAAATGCCCCATCTTATAGATCCCAACCAGATTTGAACCGTGTCCTCTGCTATGCATCATCATCCATTTAGTCTGGCGCATTGACACACTTGGAAAAACAGACGCACACAGACACCACTATGTGAAAACAAAGCCCTTTGTATAGCCAGGGATCGTTTCGATGCGAAACTATTAGCATACAGTATGATTCGGTTAAAATGCGTCAATGTTTTGTTTGTTTTAAGGCCTCAAATTGTTCTTGCATGTCTACTTCGGAACGGAAAAAAAAAAAAAATCCATCAGGTAAGTGAGCCTGAATCTGTCGCTGCTCCTTTCAGAAGGTCATTACCAAGCAACCCATGTATCCTGAGCACACGAGCACACAAGCACACATACGAATTGAGGCAGCACCTGTCAGAGCCTCTGCACAGAAACACACACAAACAGAAAAAAAACAAAAAACTGTCAAACAATCCCAAAAGTGCAAAACACAATTTTGTGGGACTAGTACAAGCATAAACAAAATGACAAAAATGACAACTATAATATTAGGCAATAATTCAGACTTACCTGAGTAAACAGCCTAATTTGATCTAAAAGTGGGAAAACTGGGACCCCCCCCCAAGAGCTGCCCTCTGTTCCTTTACGACACACGCACGCCGGCCGATTGCATCGTACACTACACGAGCTGCTCGCCTCCTCTCTCTCTCTCTCTCTCTCTCTCTCTCTCTCTCTCTCTCTACCACTCTCCTACGGTGAACCCGACCACTTTTCCCTTCCAGGTTACCACAGTGATCCGAGTCTTTCTGTTACCGCGCTACTCCGGAGGGTGAAGGGGAAAGAAAAGGGGTAATGAGAGTGAGGAGGATGGAGCCAGAGGCAAGGAGAAAAGACAACACGAGAGGGAGGATGTGAAGGAGATAGATGTACATAAATAGAGAACTAAATATGTCTGGGTCCATATCAAAACATGGATTTGAGTCAAGCATGACAGAAACAACAGTGCTCTTGTCATTTCTGCTCGGTGTTGGTTTCTTTTACTCCCGTCATCAAACAAAACCCATGACTGCCTTCATCCTGTTTTGTGAAAACAGACGCACAGGAAACACAAAGAGCCTTTTGCAACGACGTGAATGAGATTGAAACGAGCACAACCTCGGGCTGCGATTCTTGCTTTATGGCCTAAAATAGGCGGCGCAGGAGGGAACTGAGTAAGTGCACTTTAGCGGACAAACACTTGCGATACGAGCTCCAAACGAGACATTCTTATGACCGACTTGATAACATCATGATCCAGTGGAGCTTATTTTGACAACGGTCATAAAAATACTGAAGCACTTCTGTTACATCAATGACAAAAAAATCACCACTATGTCCACTACTGCCCATCGGAAGACCACATGCATATCATGGACTGAAAAACATACAACGTGAAAGAGTAGAATACAGGTGTCAAACTTCAGGCCCGAGGCCTGATTCAGCCACCACACCATTATGTGGCCCACTAAAGCCAATGGTGACTTTATGTCTCGAAAATTGTGCAAAACTGCATTGATGCAAGCATTTCTTTGCTACCACTGAAAAAAAAAAATGAACAGATGAACAAACCTTTTTTCCTTGATTTGAAACCTTGTCACCCATCGGTTTGTTATGCATATGAAATAATATGATCGGGCAATTATCTGGTCTCACAGTCATAATGGCCTTCAACAACAATGTGGCCCGGAACAGAAAAATGAGTTTGACAACTGTGCTTTAGAAGGTGAAAAAAATAACAAAATAAACACGCAGAATTGCCACTCGCAGCCTCTTGAATCGAGACTTTAGTGAATTTAGTGAGAGAGCAGCTGCTCCGCCAAGGACAAGCGACCTTGTGAATGGAGAAGCCTTGGGGGAGGCCAAACCTCAGCAAGGAGGCCTGCAGGAAGCCTGCTACTAATTTGTGGAGACGATATGGAGAGGCAAGGGGCAGACCCAAATTTCAGAAGAGATCTGTATTCTGCTGAATGACATTCTAAAAGTAAGATGTCATTGGATGTGTGGATCCGTCAGCGCCGGGAGCACCAAAAAGGGTTTTGATGGACAGCCCTCTTGTGGTTATAGAGGCAAAAAGCAGTGCAAGCTTGTCTGAGCATCTTTTGTCCAAAGAAATGCTTCTGCGAGCATTTCGGACACATGCAGTCTTGTGTCACCCGCTCTCCCGATCTCACCTCCCAGAGGGTCTTGAACTCCCTCTGTTCGATTCGAAGCAGCTCGCTGGTCTCTCTGCTGATGATGGTAGCGTGACGCGGCGTGTTGTCCAGGATGGACTCCCCAAAGGCTGTCCCGATCCCCAGAGTACAGATGGTGACCGCATCCTACAGACAGGAAAAAAAGAAAAACACGACACGGTTTTGACACGCCCAAAAGTGTCGACTTTGTGACAACATTGAGATGCGACACCACAGCAGTCAGAAAAATTAGAAAGCGGTAATTCGTGTAAATGCAGTCACACATGAAGGACGGAAAATGTGATTTTTGCATCAATATCTCGAGGTGCTGGATGTAATTACAAAGCCGAAAGGCACGCACTCGTCATTTTGTCTTCTGAAATGATCCTGAATGCTATAGAAAGCCGTCCAAACCGACATTTCAAATATAGACACCGAATCTAGGCCACCAAGTGGGCTGCATTCATGAAAACGACCATTCAAAATGGATGCGCTTTGTTATCTTGGCCTTTTTACCGGAACAAATCCTCTTACTCGTTCCTCATGTGTCAGTCCTCGACCCGCACAGAAAATACTCACGGTGCGTCACTTTTTTTTTTCTACCTTTTGTTATGTGAGAACCTTATTGTAAAATTGATTTTAGATTTTTTTTATTGAAATATTAAACACAAGACATCATGACAAAATTCAGATACAATTTCTCAGAGCTTTGAAAATGTTTTTTTTTAAATCACATACACATGCTATATATTAAACATCATTGAAATGAAGCACGCACACACACACAAACACACACACAAACACACACACACAAACACACACACACACACACACACACACACACATAATAAAAATAATAGAAGAAGGTTACATTGTACAAAAAAAAAAGTGAACACGAATTATGAATGTGAAAATTGAACACGTCATGTAAAAAGAATGACTTTGTATGTTATTGTTTCAATGTGTGTGAGCTTCATCGGATGTTACCTGGTGGTTAGCAGTTTCGGACACTTTGACATCCAGAGAACCGGACAGCACCGCATACCAACTGGTGCCAATGTCTCCCTGTCGAAACACTGTAGTAGGACTTACAAAAAGTAAGGCAGTCGAAATAAAAATTTGTCGACATCTGACATTTGGGGATTACTGGAAAAAGATTGATTGATTCAATAAATGGTGTTTGGCAACACACGAACCCTTTGGGGGCTAAATTGCATTTTCTTTGGTTAAATATGCCATCGGGCTTTCAGAAAGGCATTTTCATCACGTTTGCACGTTTGGGGTTTTTTTTTGGTTATAGGATGACTGCTTACGTACGTGTAATGCCTTTCTCCAGACATTCATAGAAGGCACAGGTGCAGATTTGCACCAAGAGTGGAGGTGGAAACTTGGTGAAGGCTTTAACCTCTTTCAGTCTGGTCAGAATAATATCCACATCCTCTCCTGAGCGCTCCGAGGGCCTAAGCGGAAAAGACAAGCGATTAAATGTGAAAACGACTTCGGACGATCTCCGCGCAACACGATTTCTTCTGCATGTCATGAGGTAACCTGTTTAATACATGGGAGAGACCCATTCCCGCACGCAGGTTCGGGTAATCGTTATCGGTGCACGAAAGGGTTGAATTTTCTGCAACTTGGGCACACAAACTAAAAAAAAAAGGCCAACCGCCCAATTGAAATCTTCAAAACAATTTGCTGGGATAAATGAATGAACCGAAGCTTAGTTAAAAGTAACCCAATCCACAGTGGGTTCGGAAATCAAGGCCGCGTTCTTTAGCGTGTCGCTTTAGTGTTTCAGCCTTATTCTATCTTCATTGTCTGAGCTGAAACAGTAGGGAGCTGCGGGCGTTCCTTCTCATCTCAGACCTCCCAGTGGGTGTTGATGTAGGATCTCATTTAGTCCTGCATCTATTTCTAATGCTCTTAATTCACAGCACAAGACATCTCGTCGGGACCTGAGATCTCACTCAAGTTTGATCAGAGAGCGCCAACGTTCTGTTCAACAAACGACACGGAGCCAAAGCAGTACACACGCTACGTCATCCATTCACTATTTTTTTTTTTGTCTTGCGAGTGACTCATCCAAGCATGCGTGCGCTCATACAGGAAGCACCACCGTCGACTTAAAATCGCTTCGCCTCCATCAACTCCCTCTTCTTCCACTAATCTCCTCTCTTCTTTATATCAAGCAAGAAGGGGAAAAAAAAAAAAAAAGAGCCGGGGACTTTCTATCCCTCAAGCACTCCAAACGTTTGCCTCCATCCATTACTACCTACCACGAACACAACCTCGCATGCTCTCCCCTCCGTTAATGTCTGCTAAAAGAGCTCTCGGGCGCATTCATGATTCTCCCATTTCACACACAGCACATTTGCGTCCCCGAGCAGTTGTTTGTCCTCCGTCCTCAAGGGAGCTACTTGCAGATCACAAAAATCCCGCCGAAGGGAGGTAAGGCGGACAGCAGACCTTCCAGTCATGCAACATCTGCCATGAGCTCAGGGAGGACGCAGCTGTATCTTTTTTTTTTTTTTTTTTTTTTACATCTGTGACTCACCCTGGCAACATCCTCCGGATTGCGTCCTCAGTGCACATACAGAGCAACGCATCTCAGCGGAGACGGGGGTTAACGGTTGAGACAGGTGGAGGCATTTAAGGAGACGGGCCGCTTGACTTCTCAGGGTCAAAGGGCTCGTACCAGCGTCACGCTTCACCCATCCATCAGGAGTCAAAATGTCATCATCCGTCAGTGAGTTTTGCCTCGTTAACAGCGCACGTCGCGTCCGCTTGTCCTTTCGAGGTCATCGTCCTGTTCTTCCGTGCTCCGCGTGACTGTCCAAAGCAATCTGCCGCCTCCCCCTCCTTCAGTGTGAGACGGATGTGACCCGAGAACTTCACGATTCATCTCGCGACGCGTCTCCTCCTTGACCCGCCTAAGACTCCGCTTCTCATGAAAGCGCCATCTTTCTTTCTTTTTTTTTTTTTTCTTTGCTTACATTGTTATGGGTCACTCACACGGCGACTTTAGTTCATCTGAGGCAGCCAAGCACAAATGGCAAACACTTGAAAGGCAAACACAGACTGATCTGCAACACGTAGTAGGGACTCGCTCACCCGCTCGCTCGCCTCTCCCATCAACCATCTGTGCCACCACAAATCTGCGAAACTGTAAACAACAACACTGAATACTAATCGGTATAAACAGTCGTGGAAAAAAAAAAAGTCGCACATCATCCAATTTGCCATTCGCGAATTGAATTCCGTACGACAATCGGTGTCGTGCAGCGTTGAAACGTGTGTTTGCGCAATCAGTATTTGAGCAGATCCGTGCGGTATCGACAACTACAACAAGCCCCCGCCCCCCCCGGCTTGATGCCACAAAATTTATCTCGTATTTTACACCCAGTTGCAATTAATGTCTGTGGACAGTCGATATATGGGAGAAGGTCACATTTCAACCTCTGAAGTCTCGTCATTGTCTTCTTCCATCATTATTGTTCACGGGAGCGCGTCAACAGTTAGCGTCGATGAAATGCTCTCGAATGCACACTGCTGGATTGTGATTGAATAAGACGTGAATGAGTGAGGAGCACCGAGTGATGCACAATGAGATCCGGTCCAATCTAATCTGACGACCGAGCCCGCCCTCAACGCTGTCTGTTGGCTGCTGTCAGGAGGACTGCATCTTCAACACCAGGATGAATTGCAGTCATTTCACATGCTTTGTAATTCAAAGAAAGTGAAAGGAGGAGGTTGCAATTTTCCATGTAAAATAAAATTTTAAAAAAAATTAAAAAAAACATGCTTCTCTGGCACAAATCAGAGACAGAAGGTGTGACATACTAGGTGTCACTCATTTGTCACGCACACTGCCGCAGTTTTAAAAGTATAACATAGTATTAGTTTTAGAAGTATAGCTTCCTCCTACCGAGGTTATAATCATGGACGTGCTGGGACCAAAATTTCAACCCAGGACTATTCGCTCGGTGGGAGTTAGTGGCTCAAGAACAATATTAATTGACAAATATGAAAATAGACATTATTCGCGACAATTATGGTGAAAGTTACTTTTCTAAGCATACAATGTAGTTTCAATGTGTTTTCTTTTTTTTTTCTAAATGGATTCATTTATAGAAAACGTATGGATGAATGAATGATTTTCTTTTTCTCTCAGTCCTCAGTCAGTTGCAGCTGGATCCGATCGCATCTTCTACCCAGGTGATGATGACAAGATGGTTGGCTCACGTTGCTACTGGTAACGCGGGGACGTGTCATGGTGAGGTGTGTCGGGTATGTGTGGGTGTGAGCGCTGTGGGGTGCATGCCTTTCTTTCTTTCTTTTTTTCCTTCTTCCATTCAAGGTATGGCCAACCTCCAGCGATTCGTGCTCATCATTCCTTGCCACTTGGTTTTTTTTTAAATGCCAATTAAGCAACCTTTAATGGGAAACATAACGGGTGGGTGGGTGGTCATGATCTTGAGCGTGTCAGCAAAGGCTAATCTCAAATAAGACAATGCTGACAGTAGAAAAAGGTGCAGAAAAAAATGTTAAAGGTGCATGCATTGAGATTTTGTCCCGGTCATAATAAAACCATGTGCATCGTGCAGCAACGTGTGCAGTGCGCTAACGCTCCTCCTCGAAGCCACCGCCGCCTCACCGTAGACGCATCACTAAAACAGAATATCTAGAAAACATGTGGGCTGCACATCCGGCTTTACTATGTCTGACAATGCGTCCTATGTGTATTCAAATAGCAATTAGAGCCGCAAAGAAAGGCGGATTTAAGAGCACACGGCTCCACCGCATACACCCAGCGATCGCCGGTTGTGATCGATCACTCCGATTCGGTTCAATGAATCAGGCCCCTGGGGGTGGCGAGAGGAAGCATGGCAGAGCTCGATCCACGCCTCGGCGGTGGACGTCGGACGTCGTAACCCACCTCTTGTCCAGACAGCAGATCCACTCGGGCGACGGAGACAAATTGGGGGACGCTTGCACCGCCACCATCCTCGTCCTTCCTTCCGCCGCGATGCTCGGTGGAGCCTGCGATGCTATCCCCGGGTGTCGGTTAATATATGCGGAGCTGCCCGCGGCCCCTCCCGCTTTTGCTGGCGTGGACAGCCGTGCACAGCTGCACTCAGCCGCACGACGCTGCTGCCTTCAGAGCTGTGGCATCGTGCACATGCATGACTTGTCAGTCTGACTGGAATGGGCAGCTGGAGGGCGTCAAGGGAAAACAATAACGTGCAGTAAAGGCTAATGCTGTAAAAACTAACTAGAAGCTATCAGACGAAATCAACGCCAGCCGCAGTATTCGAGACAATCCATTACGACTGTCTTGATTGAAATAGAAATGTCTATATTGGCAGAAAATTGTCAATGTGTCATTATGTTCGTTTTGTTTCAGTTTTGTTACCTACAGTGAGCAGCGGTGGTGTCACAGTACAAATATTTTGTTCCTGTGTTTAGGTAGGGCGCCCGGTGGTGCAGTGGTTAGCGTGTCGACCTCACAGTGCAGAGGTACCGGGTTCAATTCCAGCCTCCTTGTGTGGAGTTTGTATGTTCTCCCCGGGCCTGCGTGGGTTTTCTCCGGGTACTCCGGTTTCCTCCCACATTCCAAAAACATGCATGGCAGGCTGATTGAAAACTCCAAATTGTCCCTAGTTGGGAATGTGAGCGCGGATGGTCGTTCGTCTCTGTGTGCCCTGCGATTGGCTGGCAACCGGTTCAGGGTGTACCCCGCCTGCTGCCCGAAGGCGGCTGGGAAAGGCTCCAGCACCCCCGCGACTCTCGTGCGGATAAGCAGGTCAGAAAATGAATGAATGAATGTGTTTAGGTAGAATTGGCAGGTATTCGTACTTGAGTATTTATTTTTCGTACGACTTTTTTTTTTTTTTACTCCCTATGTTTGAAAACATCTATCTGTACTTTCCCTACTGATTCCTGTCTTAAAATAGGCGTGTGAACCATCTCTGCAACACAGCAGTTCCATCTCACTGTTCATCATCAGAATCAAAAGATTTTGCACTGGATCTCTGTTCACTACAGGCATGAATGACAAAACTGTAAATTACACAAATTTTGAGAAACTATTCAGAAGAAAATATTTGTGGGATGAAAGTGAGTGTGTTTTCTCTAGAATATCAAAACCAGTTCCGTCTGTAAGTATAGCAAAGGGGGCAAAAGTTTATCCAGGACATCTGCTGATTGCTACTCAAAAGTTCAGTCGGGTTGCAAAAATGCATCAGTGCACAGTAGAGAAAAATGACGTGACTTTGCATGAAGCGGTGTGTAAACCAGCCTGGTGCAGCGAAGCAGATGGATCAAGATGTTCATTCAGATTTGCTCTGTATAGAATGGTACAAAATATTCTGCAATGTGAAAAGGGGTTGAAAGGCCTTCTCTATGGGAGTTGCATCACGGGACCGCAACAAAAATCCATCCGATGACCAAACAAAATAGGAGGCAAAATAGTTGGAGAGGTACTGAATTGTGGTCTTGTGTCTTGGGAATTTAGCACACACTGTGAAATTCCTTGAGTATGCTTGAGTGAACTGACAACCATATGGAGCACAAAAGTCTGTCAAATACAGTTTCAGGACACAAAGTCACACACATTATGAGTTGGTCACACAGATGGGATGGTTTGACCTTATTTATTCCCCAAATATGACAATATTATACACATAATAACCATCACATGAATGAATTATTTCCTCCCAGTATGATCAATACAGAGTTCACAGAAATCTTTTACGGCATTAATCGGTCTTACAGTCACAAATCAAAACTGATATCGATCGCATTTCCCATTATTTGTTAGCATTAATAATTCTGAAGAATTGTTCTCTATTTGCCAAACTGATATTTATTGTGAAGTGACATAAATACACTGCGAGCAACTGCGGTGCTTGTACCTCAAATTTTGCTGCAAGCCAAATAAAAAATAAATAAATAAAGAACCAATGATACATCTCAAACTCCCGACGACCATTTTGCTCGTTTGGAATTTACCTTCAAACCCATTTTATTTTAATTTAACTTCTTCCAATATTAAAATTGACTTTCCATTCCTCCCCTCCTTTTTTGCTTCACCTCATTCCAAGGACGGCTTTTTCATTGGCCACTATTAATATCATCTAGGTCCCATTGCCACCTGGGACAATGGTCTCCATTCAGATCCAGGTCACAGTGAGTGGAACCAGTCTGCTTTGTGTCGCTCAGCCCGGTCCAGTTGGGTCCATCTGCCACACAAGTTCACTTCACACAGACACAAGAAGTGTACTGTGCCAACACACAGGTGAGACAGACACACATACACCCACACCCACACGGAGAACATTAGCAGGTACTGCATCACTGCTCTCATTTGCCTCACACACACACACACACACACACACACACACACACACACACACACACACACACACACACACACACACACACACACACGCAGCTTGCGCGCACGTACCTGCATTGATAAACACAGGTGTCTTCATACAAGGCTTTCCTCTGAGAATCTCAGTGGATGAAGAGAAATTGACCATCTTTACGATTATTCTGCAACAGAAGTAAAAGGTAATTGGTTGTAGAATAATGCATGGCTGATATCTGATGGTATTGCATGTTTTTGAATAGCCTGCTGTATTGAAATGCAAAATAATTAATTTATTAGATGATACCCGTGGTTCTATTTTGTATGATGTGATGGATAATTTACAGAGCTAGATGCTGTCGATGGCCCGGTGGTGCCCACTCACCGTCAATGTTTCACAGTTACTGGAGTCGTTTACACAGGATTACCAAGGATTATCCATTTACAGTATTTAGAAGCATGAGTCGCCATCTGTCTGTCTTTGTCGTAGTGAGGGAGACGCCTTCGCATGACTCCGAAGCGACAGCACTCACGGTAAGACGTAAAAAGGTTTTATTTGAGAGTTTTGAACGAAATAAACTAAACAAAAAGGTGTGCTGGTCTTTAAAAACGCATGCATGCGCCACACACGAGAAACAAATGATGCTTTCAAAGACGGTCGTATACTCCGTAATCTACGCATTGTCGCTCGGGAAAGATTTGTATGATGTGATGGATAATTTACAGAGCTAGATGTAGATGGCCCGGTGGTGCCCACTCACCGTCAGTGTTTCACAGTTACTGGAGTCGTTTACACAGGATTACCAAGGATTATCCATTTACAGTATTTAGAAGCATGAGTCGCCATCTGTCTGTCTTTGTCGTAGTGAGGGAGACGCCTTCGCATGACTCCGAAGCGACAGCACTCACGGTAAGATGAAAAAGGTTTTATTTGCGAGTTTTGAACGAAATAAACTAAACAAAAAGGTGTTGGTCTTTAAAAGGGCATGCATGCGCCACACAAGAGAAAGAAATGATGCTTTCAAAGACGGTCGTACACTCCGTAATCTACGCATTGACGCTCGGGAAAGATTTTTTATACTGGGTTAAAATGCTTTTTATTTAACTCATAACTCGTCAAATAAGAGACAAGGTGTCGCTTGTAGTATATTGTAGAATATTACAGGAGGAGGGAATGTAATTTGGGCAATTTCCGACAGTTGATGAATGCAGCAAACAAGCTAATTGCCACAACTTTCTACCTGCGTGGGAGTGGAAGTCGCTGAGTTACGTTCGACGACACAAACGAAGGAAGGAATTTGCTCACCTGCTGCTCGGTGGTCGCTGAGTTACGTTCGACGACACAAACGAAGGAATTTGCTCACCTGCTGCCCGGTAAGTCGACCTCTCGTGGCCTCTTTGTGGCTACGGTTACAAATATCAACATCATTTATTGTACTTTTCATAACCTCCTTGCTTGTGTTCGTTTTGCTTTAGCTTTTGACTTCCTTCGCCACCATTGGAGAAATTGGCGGAGAGATTTCGCTTTTTGGATAATAGCTCTTCTTTGACCACTTTTTGAACACCAGCTCATTTTACCAGCGTCTCCCTTCCTCCATCTTCCTTCTCAACGCAGTTAGGTTTTTGTTTCCCTCACTTGTCTTATCCTAATGATGCGGACAGACCATAGAGGCCGAAGTGGCTCTCCTCACAGGATTTCATACGAGACTGACTTCCACGCCATTAAATGCTCGTTTGACAGTGGGACCGGCCTAAAGCATGGCTCCAGGGCTGTGTCTTCCCGGAGTTCTTCTGTACACCATTCAGGTCTACCAACCAGCCTCTCCGACCCCCTTGTGTCCCTCCCCAGCAGTGGTCGAGGCAGAACCCACAGCACCAGAGGGCCTAAAATTAGGGACAACATCTTCCTCCAAATGGACAACCAACAGCTGAGACAAATTGCTGACTCGGGCCAGTGTAGTTCTAGCGCCACATCCCTCCTATCTCCTCAGAATCCCAACATGCACCTCCAAGCTTCACCATTTCCCGCCGCCAGACCCCTGGTCACGGGCTCCGTCGCCAGCATTTCCACTCCTGAAACTTTCTCGCAAGACAAACCAGCCCGATCAGAGGAGATAAAGGACATAGACAGGGCTGCTCTAGCGCAAAAGTTCTCCGTGACTAGGAAGTTGTTTGAGACAAAAGTGACAGGTGCTGGTCGTGGAGGGCAGTTGTCAAAATGCTCTCTGAGCAAAGATGAAAATAAAAGCTGGAATGAAGACAAATGCACCAATGAACACCTCATAAATATGCCTTTGCCAAAGACCTCTTTAACAACAAGCCTTAAATCTCTGATGTCAGATGTCCTCAGTGGGGAATCAACTAAATCTCCTTCCAGCGCTGAGGAGCATGGGCACCCCCCAGTGAGTGAATCAAAGGAAGAAGAGGCCGAAAGCGCAGTTCTTGACTCTACCTTGAACCCCGAGGAGCCACTCAGGGTAGAGCTTGTCCAAGTGAAGTCGTCAGACAGTGATGATAGTGAGGAAAAGGATAAAGAGTATCTTGTAAATAACGGAGAGCCTTTCATGGTTAAAAATGTATCTGTCAATGTATCTTTTGAAGACCTGGTGGATGATGTTTTTGAAGATCCCATTTTGGAAACATCAAATCCTTGCTTGATGGAGCTAATAGCAAGAGACTTTAGCTTCATTGCAGACAAGTACGAGCAGGTGAATGAACAATGTTGGGAGGAGCCGAGCCAGCACACTGACAACCCGAGCGAGGAGCACTGCGACATGGGTGAAGCATTGCGAGAAAATGGTGAAAAAGAGGATGTTCAGAAGACTTGCCGACTAAGTGAAGTCGAAAAGAAAGCTTGCGTTACACCTGAAATGCAGAAATGTGTCCAGATGAAGCCACAGGAAGATGAGAGAACAGAAGACGCCAGCAAGGGACAAGTTGTCATAAGTGGAGGCAAAGAAGTGCTTCTTTGCGGGAATGAGAATCAATATTTCAAGCAGGAGTCTTGTGTGGAGCATGCAACTTCTCCCGGACAAGATCTGGAAAGCTCTCTCCGTACGGGCAACCGACTTTCATTGGAGTACGAAGAAATTCCTGGCATTCCTAAACTGTCTGACCAAGATGATGGAGATGGCGCAGACGGCGCCAAGAGAAAAGTCCGCTTCTCCTCAGCACCAATCAAGGTGAGCAAATCCTGGGACAGATTTTTTGCAGTGTCCCTGAGTGTGTATTGAGAGAGAAATGCGAGCCCGTGCCCGTGTTTGTAGCGTGTCAGGGTGGAGGAAAGACAAGATCCCACATGCTTCACTCTGTCAGGATTCCCTGAAAATGTCACCGCTCTGCACTTGTGGTTTACACTGTGTTAAATTGGCTTGATATTTGAAATAGTAACTCAATTTTAGTTGTAGAGCAGTTTTAAAAACAAGAATAGCTGAAAGAAAGCGCTCTCCATAAGGTTGAGTCGTGACATTAAATTACCAGTAATCCCAAAAAGATGTGCCGTTGCTATTCCATCAGCCCTGTCGATGATGTGTGCTCATCGTTGTCCTTCAGGTGTACACCACTTACTGTAACGTCGAATACAACCGACGCAATGAAGATATTGACCCGGTGTCCGCCTCGGCCGAATATGAACTGGAAAAGAGAGTGGAAAAGATGGATCTTTTCCAAGTGGAAATTGAAAAGGGTTTGTCTTTTTCCTCTTCCAGTCATAAAATTAAGCATTACAAATTCTTACGCTCTTGGTTGATTTATTTTTCCCTCTTCCAGGAGATGATGGGCTGGGCATCAGTATTATTGGAATGGGGGTAGGAGCGGACCAGGGCCTGGAGAAACTTGGGATCTTTGTCAAGACAATCACTGATGGTGGAGCAACACATACGGACGGAAGGTATGTTATGCTAAATCTGTATTTCCCGCAAGATAAATTCTATTGGACATTGGTCATCATACTACTCCGATATTCTGGAGGGTTTATTTTATTTTATTATTTATTAATTTTTGGGGGGGGCTTCCAACGATGCAGCTGTGTTTTGCTAACCAATTGAACATGATACCGAACCGAACTTTGGAGTACAACCCACAATATATCAAGGATGTCGAATGGTGAAGGCATTAATGGATACAGAACATGTCCTTCCACATTCACAAATTTGCGATTGTTAACAATTCATAGGAACTACCGGTATTATGTGATATGTATCATTACGCGGCTCTTCAAGCTGCTCATTTTTGGCTGCAAGATTTTTTTTAAGAATACCCTGCATAAAATATGATGTCTTGAAATGGAGCCAATGTCAAGAATTTAAAAAAAAAAAAATTGATTTTATTTAGGATTCGCGTGAATGATCAGATTGTGGAGGTGGATGGTGTGAGTTTGGTCGGAGTGTCCCAGCTGTTTGCAGCAACAGTGCTCAAAAATACATCAGGCCTGGTCAAGTAAGTAGCTCACATTGCTCTTCACTATTTTTTTCCCTACTAGTTTCCAAAGTAGTGTCTTATGACAGCACATTTTTATTTTCCCCCTCAAAAGGCTTGCAAAAATACATCATTTTGTGGATCCGTTTGTACATTCGGCATTATTTCTGTGCAATAAATTTGATTTCTTCTCCGCCACCCAAAGGTTTGTGATCGGCCGAGACAAGGAGGGTGTGGAGAGTGAGGTGGCGCGCTTAGTCAACGAGAGCCTTGAAATGGAGAAAGCATCACAAAAGGTTCATGGTGGACAATGTTATCGAGAAAAAGTGACGTCCACTAATTCTCTGATCCGTCCTCATAACAGAGTTCAAGGACAAGTGGGGATTCAGAAACTGATGTCGGCATGTCTGAGGCCAGCTTAGTACCTGAGGAGGAAGATGACGACGACGAAGAGGAGGACATGTCTGCACTATCGTGTCTTGATAACAACCAACTATGCCTCAAATACCAGAAGGTACTTTATATGCAGCGAGAAAAAAAGTTGAAAGAGAGAACTGGAGGGGCTTTTAACTGCAAAGGGGAGAGGCCAACTCAATATTCCCTCCTCTTTGGTAATATTTGTATATGTTGCTGTTTTTTTTTTTTTTTTTTTGTATCACCCTTACTTTAATTGCACATTTTTGAATTGTTGTCTCGATAGCTTCAATCCAAACTGCAAAGAAGAACAGCCCAGCTCAAAAGCGCCCGAGAGAAGGTAAGGCTACGCGGTCTGCTGTCACTCACACATCCCCGATATCCATGTTTATAAACGACCTTTCACATCCACATTTGGAACAGTCTGACCCAATTTAGGGATGGCTCAAGATGGTGTTTTTAGGACACGGGCCACCTCTCCGTGTCTGCTCCTTTTTTGCAAAAATGGAAAAGCAACTGCCGTTCGGTCACAAAATATGTCTTTCCTTATTTCCAACCGTGTGACTTCAATGACTCTTTTATTTGGCGTTTTCAAAGTCTTGATGTTGGAAGATTCAGCCGGTTTGCTAAAAATAGCTCTCTTTGGGCATTGGACTGATGAAAAGATGAGCATATCCCTTTGTGTGTTGGATACAGCATATGCCGCACACGTTTACTAACAGTAGTGACAACATCCCCCCCCCCCCCCCTCTCCATGCAGTTAAAGGCATTTGAGGAGGAGCAGGCGAGATGGAAGAGCCAGAAGGCAGAGCTGCAACAAAAAGTGGAGGATGGAGAAGAGAAAGCTGACAAGCTTGAAAAGTGTGACACTATGTATACTCTATTTTTTTTTTTTTTACCCTATTCACAGCTGACAGCAATGCCATGACACATCCTATTTGTGTCACTTGAACGCAACAAAATCAGAATTTCAACCGCACAGTTGAAATTCAGCCCCAAAGTGGTAAACGCAAGCCCCTCTTGTAACATTCGGTATTGATTTCACATCTTAACCTTTGCATTGATGCTAATATTACATAAACATTACAAAAGTAAGCCATACAGAAGTTCACCCGAGGTTGCCGTAGAAAAGACCTTTGTGGTTATCATTACGACAAGCCAGTGTACAGTTTTAGAATCTGAAATCTTACTGTACGTTACTTCTTGTTGCTTTAGCAGCCTCTCTGTGTTTATCAGGTATTGGCAAGAGGCCCAGACACTGTGCAGGGTGGTGAGCCAGCGACTGGCTGATGCCCAGAGCCAATCTGACAGCCTGGAAATCAAGTACGGCAAGGCCAAGAGACTGGTCAGAGAGTACCAGAGCAGGTAATCGTTTAATTCCACTCTGTTAGCTCTGGACTGCACAATGATAGGCTCTCCCTTAACTTGAGGGACTCGACATGTAAACAACGTTTACTCAGGGAGGAGGAGGCGGACAGCAGAGAAGCAGATTTGCGTCAGGAAATGGAGGAGAGAGACAACAAGCACAGGGAGACTATTGAAAGGCTTCAATACCAGGTCAGGACGGCTTCTTCATGTAGCTCGCACGAATTTTAACCGTGATCATCATCTGCTTTTTCAGTTGGAGCGAAAAGACCCAGCGACGGCAGGGACGCATCTTGCAGTGGACCGAGCGGTCCCGGGTAGGCAGCAGCTTTCATGACATCTATCGTACTTTTACGCTGACCAGTAACTAACTACGCCACTTGAACAACGCGGTGATATCCAATACACGAGCTGGAACTAAATACTCTTGTCCTTAAAAGAAAATGGCTGACGTATACGTGCAAATAGCAATATATCACTTGTGGTTTGTGTGTATTATCTTTGTGTCAGATCCCGAATGGTCCATTGCAGTTCCTGACACCCAACGACTAGACTGCAGTGCGCACATCGCACGAGGTCAGCTGGCCCAGAAGTGCAAACGCCATCCACCTTCACGAGAAAAACTCAGAGAGAGTTTTCAGAAAGAGGTGTGAGGTTGAGAACGTCGGCGGGCACGTAGTTACATTTTATGCCGTCGTCATCCGGCTGATGCTTCACGTTGTCGCCGAAGCAGGAAGTAGATCAAAGGCCACGGGAGAGCGAATCGCAGTCCGAAGAGCTTGGACAGAGGAGCGGCCGAGCTGAACTTTCCAGTTCTTCCTCGTTCTCGGTTCACAGCCCTGCCGACGTGTCCGTCGTCTTCACGCCCCCAAACCTCATCACCGATACCATCGCCACCGTCATCGCCCCCCCGGTTAAACCCTCCACATCCAAGAAATCCAAAAGAAAAATGCCTGACTTTAGGTGCGCTGAACCACTTCTCTTTTGGACTTCAATACGAGACCGGACATTTTTCAGTTTTCCTGAATGCGATGCTGTGATTTGATGTTCTTGTGCAGTGGTCTGCGTAAGTCCCTAAGCAAGAGGAAGAGTGAAAAACTGCAGAGAAGGTCCAGGAACAGCAGGTGGGATTGACATTTTGTGCAAATATGTTCAATGCTCTTCCTCTCGGGCTGTTTCCCCAGCCCTTGAGCCAAGACGCATATCGTATATTTACTTTCGTGCGCGACTGTATTTTAATGTTGGTCACAATTGTGGTACTTGGAAAGACATATTTTTTCCGGTGGCGCTCGGTGTCAGAAATTTGGAGAAAAAAAAAAATGTCACTCATGTTTGCCATACAACACATCCTTTAATCTGTCCAGGGCGTCGTGCGGCGACCTGGTGGATGAGCCAGCCGAAGTTTCTCCATCAGGCTCTGTGACCTCCATGCCCTCCTGCTTGCCTTTCGCCTGGTTTGCAGAGCGAGGGAGGGAGAAAGAGGAGGTAGGGGAGAGACCTAAAGGCGGCAGGGAGAATCTCCGTTCCGTGTCCAGCAGCAGTTTGCCTTACTTGACCACATCTGGTAGAATAGATCAGGTATGAAGAAAATGCCGCTAACATACTAGCTTGCATGTGCTTGCGGAGACATAGAGTGGGCAAGGATCCTTTCCTAAGCCACCTTAGTAGCCTCCTTCACTTGTGCTCCTTACTTCAGAATGTTGGCTCTCTAAAGGATAGCTTCAGCAAAGGGGGTCACGGCTCTTATCACTCGCTGTGTGGACACTCTCGCACATTCACCTTTGCATCCACGGAGGTAAGCCATTCCTTTCCTCCCTTTGCCTTCCCCATTTCCTGCCTGCTCCGCTTGAAGAAGTTGTTTCTCCATTGATGATTTTCTGACCATCTATAACCGCATTTCCCACTTTTTTTTTTTCCCCCACTCTTGGCTACCAGACCTTGGACGACGATCCTCTGCCAGTTAACAACAACTACCAGTGGCAAAGTCGACCTGTGTTGGAGTGGAGCAGCCAGCAGGTGTGTCTGTGGTTGGTGGCCGTGAACATGGAGCAATACATGAGTGACTTTGCAGCCAAGGGTGTGGACGGGGCGCAGCTTCTCACAATGGACACTGACAAACTCAAGGTCAGTTTTTTTTTTTTTTTTTTTTTTTTTTTAAAAAGTCAAATAATTGTTTGAAGTTAGCTTTTAATTTGTGTATATGCTTGCCTTTTCTGACATAATTTGTTTGTATACAATATGCAAGCCTGATCTAAAATAAAGATTGGGACCAAAAACAGATCTCAACTAAGGTTTGATTGGATCGCCTATGCTATAAAAAAAAAATTAATAATTCTATGTTTTTGTACGTGTCTTCATTTGGGTATTGGACGCCCTCTGGTGGAAAACCTTGCCATGTCACGTCACAGATTTTGCTTCCTTTCTGTCGTCAGGCCATGGGCGTGTGTCAAAGTGACCGCGCGTCTCTCAAGAAGAAGCTGAGGGAGATGAAGAAACATGAGGAAAAAGAAGAGCGGGGAAGGGAGAAAAGGTGGAAGGAGTCGTCCGCGCGTCAAGAGAAGAATTTCAAGAGTGAGGGTGTGGTCATCGAGAATACATCCGCTCTGGAGTCGCACGGTAGCGGGAGAAGTGCGAGGACCGAGTCGCTCCTCTAGTAGAACTCGACATTTCCACCAGCTTGGATGAACTCGGTTAGCATTTCCGTAAAACGTTTTATTAATTTATGTTATGATGGGAGAACACCCAACAAATCTCACATTTACAGCACTTATCGTTTTTATACTTTTACATATGATTTTAAAATGTCTTGTTTTAATAAATATGCTTTAAACGTCCACTTTCCACCGTTTAATTAGAAAATTGTTACCCAACCATACACACATGAATATGGCAACTGAATTCATTCTTTTGAAATTTTAATCAATTTGCCAATTCCCGCTTTGCTTTTTTTTGTACACTGCAGTCAATCCACAAGGTACTAATTAAGACAGAATCATTGTTGGGGACAATTTAGAAGTCACGCGTGTTGGCATGATGTGACTCTTTGGTCTTGTATAGTGCGTAACAGAAAGAACCCCTTGAGTAAATAAATACAAAAATGGCAAAAAAAATGATCTATAAACTCCCTGACCTTCTCCCTCCATCACACCCCAACACTTGAAAACACAAAATGTACAAAACAAAGCTCCAAAAATAGTGAAGGACCCTCCACTGCACAACATTTCTCCCAATGTCTCTACTTGCATTTACGACCCCCTGAAGCACAAGTTTGAAAAAAAAAATGTACAAATGAATATCTTGTCTTGATATTTACATTCCGCCAGGATGTGATTGACGGTTAAGAATAGTGTTCGTTGTCATGCCAGCTTGTCACCCAAGATTTCTTTTCTAGGTTTGGCCAATCCGCATTCATGTCTCTGTCCTCACGTTTGATCCGAACCGCGTTGTAACTGGGAACTTTGTCTTCGTGTTTGGCCCGTTTGAAGAAGCCACACTGCCTGCGTTAAAAAAAAAAAAAAAAAAAAAAAAGACAAGATGTCAGTGTGAAGAAAGAAGAAAAGGGTTCATGTGTTGAGTGGCTGTCAGTACAACGGCGAGCAAAGAAAAGCAAATCAGAGCGATGCAGAAGGCCCAAGACTGAAGATAAGTGCCGCCTCCCCAAGGCCATGCGTGCACAGTCGTACCTTGACTTGTTAGTAAAATATCGCAAATCAACTTCCCCCACGAAGATCAATGGAAATGCAGATAATGTTACAGCGCCACAAAAAACATTTTCATTTTTTGGCAACAAAGAAAAACAGCACTGTACAGTATTGTGCTGTGTACAAATATACAGCAGTAACAATAACATGAACTCTTTATTTTTTTTACCTCATTTTCACAATACTTGACTTTTGCCACATTTTCCTCGCTTTTAGCAACTGCGTCTTTTTATGGCCGTCAAGAAATTATTTGATTTCCCTTGTCTAGCATTATAAATAAATGTACCGGTAATATATAAAGTTCCCCCCCCACCATCACCCTCCTAGATGCATGCCCCTGCAAATGTAACTACACGCGCACCACATTCTTTTTGACCGGAAAGTTGAGGCACTGTTAAATCGAGGTACCACTGTACTGTATATTATTTCCAGCGACAGTCATATCAGAAAAAACCAAACCATTCAGCTTTTGCGATAATAGGAGCCACGTAATTCAGTGAGGAAAGCCCAAATCCAACGACCAGAAAGCAAAAGAGAAATATGCGGCCGGGTAAAATTTGTCTTACTTATTCTCTTTCAGTTTTGTTTAGATATTTTTTTTTTACGCATTTGTCAGCCTCTGTTTTTCTGTCAGGTCCTGTTTGTTCTTTTTCCCACAGACTCGACAAAGTCCACACTGAGGAGAGGCAAGTAGTTAGATAAACATCATCATCATCACCTTATTTTGAACAATATTTGGACGTGTGTGTGTGTTCGTGTGTGTGTTCGTGTTCCTACCTTCCAGAGAAGGAAAGCCAGTAGCGCCAGTAAGAGCAGGGCGAAGAGAACGGACAAGAAAATGATCCACCATGGGACTCCTCCGTATTGGGCCTCATGCCTCTCAGGGAACGCAGTGAGTTTCATCTGGAAAAGAAAAAAAAAAGAAATGAAGTTTGTTCTTTTCTGAGTCACATTTAGCGTGCGTGCGTGTGTGTGTGTGTGTGTGTATACCTGTGTCTCAGCATTCTCCATCGCTGTGATTTTTCTTGTGCTTTCAACCTGAAGTGCCGCCTTGACGATCACATCCACGTGATGCAGCTTGTTGTAATCCTGTTTAGGAAAGCAATAATAATATAATAATGGAAAAAAAGGAAATAAATATGCAATGTGTTTTGAACGCGGCCCGTTATCATGGAAATCCGGTCTGACAAATGTCATTTATAATTTATGCATCGTGCTTATGTGATCATCAAATACTGTAGCAATGTTACGCATATCAATCCACTCATAAATTATATCAAAGCTCTGTATAAAGACTTAAAATCTCAAATTTGTTCAATGACATCTTATATGTTTACCCCAAATAAGGACAAAATCTCTTGCTATTCAATCACTACGTTCTGTCGGGTCCAATCATCAAGTTAAAATAAAAAAGGAATCGTGATAATAATGGGTTTGTCTTGAATAGAGATGGATGAATACCTCACCCCTCCTCAGAATAAATGAAAACGTCAACAACAATACAAAAAAAAAAATAATAATCCTAGAGCAGTTACCGCCAACAATGTGCTGTTCCAGAGGCGGGAGTGAAGGGTGATGACTGCGTTACTGTCCAGGCCTCTCAGGGGACACTTGATCCTCACACACTTGGCCCCGTCGTCACATGACTGTAACCAGAGAGCCAGCCAACCACCAAATTAAATTTAGTGCGGTACCGCCCAAACACTTACCGTAAGCAATCATTCGACTTTGTTGTTTCTAGTACAACAAGTTAATGTCTTAACAATTTACTGCTGTGAAAGGATTCAAACAAAACTAGTGTTTTTTACCAGAATTTTAGAATTCTTCTTGTCCACCAAACGTGAAATAATTCCTTGGTCACCGTCTTTGGTCTTTGTTGAGGCCCTTCTTATCCTGCTGTTGCTGACTTCCTTTAAAAAAAAACAACAACAAAAAAACAAACAAGATTAGGCCAAGGTTTCGAAAATTTCATTGAGCCAAGGTTGATATTTTTCATCTAAAAGATCTCACGGAAACCACCAAATAAAAATGTCCTAAAAATAAATATAATTGCTATTTTAATCGTTTTAACTGTAAACATACTACGATGATAAGAAACCATTTGAATATCAGTGCAATTCAAATTAATTGAGCAAAACTTATCTTTTAAAAAAAAAAAAAATTTAAGCGCATCACGAAGACAGCCCAGGCTAAACTCCTCCCCAATATACCAAGCTTGTCTATTAGTTGTGATGTGTTACTTCAACATAAATCCTTGAGACCAATTCCTATTTCGAAAGGGCTTTGGCGCCATCGAGTGGCACCCCGGCATAAGTTTCATCAAGTCACATCACATTTTCTCCCCACTGACCTTTTTGAGAGGATTGATCTCCGATTTCGGCGTACACTCGATGTGGTTCACGCCTGTGGCGGTGACCTTCATCAAGTAGAGCAGCCACTTGTTCTGCTCCGTGGTCTTGGGCCAGTCAATGTGAAGGGTGGCAGTGCCGAAGTCCGTCAAGCGCCTTCCGATGTTGATGATCTGACATATGCAATATTACAATGAACCATTGCAGAGGAGGATGAGGAAGAGGAAGTCACAGCTACGGAGGGTGGCCGACTTTCTTCTGTGCTCACTCTGATCTGATGCATGAGGGGCATTCCGATGTCGCTTTCTGTCCTCATGGCATTTTGATCTCTGATCTTTCCAGAGAATTGCACCTGTGAGGGCTGCGCTTGCCTGGGAAAAAAAAGAAAGACACGCAGTTTGCCTTCAATTCTGTCCAGGTGTATGTTTTTTATATAGATTTTTAAAATTTAGTTTGGTTACCCTGTTATAGTCAGCTGCAACGTGATGGCCACGTTCGCCTTTGCTTTAACAGCGGCGAGTGTCGGCTGCTCGCTGGTTCTGCATAGAATCAAAAGCACCAACCTCCATCATGACAAGAATGTAAGAGCATGTAATATGTGCTACACTTGAACAATCTGTATCCCACTGGACGTCCTCTACAAGTGGAAATAAAAAGTCGACACAGCTCTGATGAAATGCCAGCTTTTTGAGACGAAAAATAAACAGAGGAGGGGGGTGGGGAACAATCCACCAATTTTGTGACCTATGACGTGTTCATTTGTATTACTTTTAAAAATATATTCGAGCAGAGAAGTAAAAGTAAAATGAGACAAAACAATGTGGTTGCAATTGTGTGCACACCCCCCTATCACAGGCTCTTCCTGACATTTTTTTTTTCTCAATCAGAAGTCTGAAGAAGCCAGGATTGACTGCTATTTGGAAGTGTTCATAATTCCTTCCACCGTGTCGAAGGCCCCAGTTCCATCTGAGGAAAAACAGCCCCCTGTTCAAGATGGCGTCATCATGCTTGAATGTAGGTATGATGTTCTTTGTGGTGTTTGTGGCAAACGTATATTTTGGAATTATGGCCAAAAATTCAAGACTGAATATTGAAATAATATTGCTAAATTACATTAATATTAATAAAATTAACTATTCCACAGATACATTCTAATTCTTTTTTTAATTGTCAGTTTATTAATTATAATATACATAACTAATGTAATTTTATAAATTTGACTGAATTATTATTGTAAGACGCAAATGAATTATTTTACGTATTTTTCCTGGCCCATCTGTCCGTCTTGAAAATCAAAAGTGGGCACAAACGTTTGCCCACCCTTATATTTTTGGAGACGTGCTGGCAGAAGGACTACAAATGTGGTAGTGTACCAAATATGGCCAGTTCAACTTACGTTTGAGGTTGAAGCTCAATCTCTAATTCGGTGGTGTTCAGCGAGATGCCTGTTGTTCCCAGAATAATGTAGAAGGTTGTCTAGAAACACACGCGCGCGCACACACACACACACACACACACACACACAAAAAGCCACATGGGCGACAGTTGTTTCAGGAAGAATGCTGAAAGTTGCTTCACAGAATCCATTTTAGCACTTTGCTGGCAGATTTAGCAACTTTTCAGACTACCATAGCAACTAGCCGCGGTCAACCACTTGAACATCTCTACACAAAGGAAGATACTCACTGCGGACATTAACCTTAAATACAAATGCATTGAATTCAAAGTGAAATAAAAGTGAACTGTAGTGAATCGTTCACATCCCACTTTGAAGAGAGATGAGACCAGATGGAGTCGACAGAGGAGTCACGCACTCACCACAGAGTCCCGTTTAAAGGGGTTTCCAAGTTCACAGGTCGCCTGAGAGCCGTTCTTATTGGCCGTGCAAGTTACAACCTGGAATCAGAGTCTTTCAATCGCATCCGCAAAAGTACGACATCCAAAAAGCGTGTGAATTTGTGTGCGCGCGCGGTGGGGTGTGTGCAATAACGCGTACATTGGGCGGTCCGCGGAAAGCCGAGTATGTGAAGGCACGCGGGAAGGAAGCGACCACCGAAGCCTCGTGTGCGTCGTCTCCATTCTGGTTGGTCACCTTGACCTCCAAGGCGATGTCCTTCTGCTTGGTAAACGAGATCACCGGCACACCATTCTCCCTAAACGCAAAGATGAAGGCTTCTCAAAAACACGGAGGTGCACAATCAAGACAAAATGTTTGTTTTTTTTCTTCTTTCTTACAATGGTAGAGGTGTGAAGGTGTCGTCTTTAGCTGTCTTGTAGCCGTAGCGATGCGCCACCTTCAAGTTACTGCGGCAAATATTGTCACTGCCGCAACCCTCTTTCACAAATTGAACCTACCGAGATATGAGCACAATACGGAGCAGCATGATGTAAGATACATGACATGACTATTCAGAATGTCTTGCTAGCTTATCGCTGTCTTAGCATGAACAGAGCCACAAAGTAGCTGTGCCTCGGTTCATTGTCAAATTGTATTTCATGCTTTGATTCAAAAAAAATAAATAAATCATCATCATCAAGTTACTCTCTAATTATTCAGTAGTGTACTTGCTCACGCTAACTCAAGGAATTATTTGGACTCGCGTACCTCTTGCCGAGTTGTGACTGTGTCTTTAGCGTCGAGGACAGGCGGCATTTCAGAGGAGCTCTGTCGACGTTTGCGTTGCCTATTTTGGATCTCCACGTCCACGTCGACGGGCACCCCTCGAAGTTTGTCACGAATATTGTCCTGTGGGATGACGTAGGATTATTCACACCCAACATTACACATGTACAAAAAGTACTGGTTTGTTTTCCTGGCCCCTTTGCACTCAGCGCTGGGTTAGCTAGTTCACCCATTTCGGGTGACTTCAATCCAGCAGTTCTAAATGTAGATGAAGTCTCTCTGTCGTTAAATTCCTGCGAAGAAGCATTCGAACCTGTATAGCCAGCTGGCGTGTGACGCATTGCTTCCTTCCTTTGGTGTCCAAGACGACGGTCCCTTGGGATTCGTACTCGCTGTCAGAGGCCGACTGCTGAGTGAAAGAGGCCCTTGGGATGAGATTCTTCTTTCTTTGGTCAGCGTCCACCGTCATGGTGTATGCCAAGGCTAGAAAGGGACGTAAGAGTCACTATTGGTGTACGCAAAGAGGAAAAGTGTTTCTTGAAGAGAAGGCGGATTGATCTTACTCAGTCTCGGGGTGTAGCTCTTGGGGTTGGCGGTGTAGGTGAAGCAAGCTTGAATGTTCATGCTGAGGGAGGAACACGATCAGAAGTGATTAACCGAGCGCGTCAACTTGTGTTTTCATTAGCATTAGCATGTCAGAAAGACCGACCAGGAGACAAATTGGCTTTGAACCAACAAGCTACAGCTCTTTGGTCACAGTTGAAGATTGCGTACCAGAACTTGTTCCCACAGTTCTTCTTAGTCAAGTCAATTTCCCTTGGTATGAAATTGACTTCCTTCTGGATGGCGATGACTGGACGGGCTCTGAAAAGACAGGATTGAGCTTCTCTGTGGGCAGGAAGTGAGATATAAAAAAAAAAAAAACAAACGGGGAGCACTCACCTGTACACAAAGACGGCGTCAGAGAGGGATCCAACAGCCAGGTCGGGGTAGGAGTTCTTGTCCAGATCCATGTTACCCGCTAGGGAGTAACCAAACATTGTCACTCCTGAAGGCTTGCCAGACAAAATCTACAGCAAAAATGAACGTTTGTTCAGAGGTGATAGATAACATTTTGTCAACATTATGCTGGGCCAAGAGGTTTTCTTTGCGCACCTGTGCCGCTTTGGTGGATTGGAGTCCTGTGTTTGATCCATGGTAGATGTAGACATTTCCTGAATCGTCATCATCGTAAGGGGCTCCCACTGCAAAATCTATTCGAGTGAAAAAGAATCGTGACTTTAAGGGAGGGGTTCTCAAATTTTAAGGTCCCCCCTCATAATTCCAACGGCTGTTAAATTCTGTATAACTACCGTATGCAGCCGAAATGTCATCTGCATTAAAAATATACTATTTTTGAGAGAAGCAACAGACTTTTTCTTTCCCCAAATTAATGAAGCGGAAGCCTCACCGTGGTAACCGTCCTGGTTGATATCTCCCAGATTTTCCACAGCTAGGCCAAACATGGAGTCCTTCGGTCCGTCTATTCTGATGGGGGTGACCTTGTCCCATTTTCCGGCTTGGTTTACGAAGGCGTACGTAGCGCCTCCGATTTCGCCATCCTTCTCAAAGTACTGAGGCGCTCCCACCACGATGTCCTCCCAGCTAGCAAACGACACCGCCAGCATGTAAGATACTCTTACTACCCACCTTCCAAAACTTTTAATGCGACCCAAAAAAAAGATTCCGCCGTTCCACTTTTACTCACCCGTCCCCGTTGAGATCCAGCACGGCCAGGTCGTAACCGAATGATGAAGCCAGCCCCTCCCCTTCCAGCGTGTACTCTTCCAGCAAGATGTTCGTCGTATCGGGGCCTTTCTTGAGCAGCACTACCGCGCCGCTGTGGTTGGCCCGTGGAGCGCCCGCCACCACCGTCAGCTGGCCTTTCTTGATCAGGCTTTTGCCCGAGTCCAGGGAGAAACCTGCGACCACGAGACAAAGCCTTAACAAATAGAGTACATGTATGGGGACTTCATTACTGTAGCTAACTGTATAATCATTTTACTCCTTTATTAAGTACATTTCATACTCTGTGTGTGTGTGTGTGTGTGTGTGTGTGTGTGTGTGTGTGTGTGTATATATATATATAATATATAATTTTTTATTTTTTTTTTTACTTCAGTACTTTTGCCACCTCTGTGAAATTGTGACACTGTGGAAGATTGCGCGCGGATGGGGGCCGTGGCGAGTAAGTGCCGTGTGTGTGTGTGTGTATGTGGAAGATTGTGCGCGCATGGCGGCCGTGGCGAGTGAGTGCTTCACCGAGGTAGCTGCTGGCAGGGACAGGGACAAGATCGGGATTCTTCTCGTTTTCATCCCCTGCCTCAAAAGGGCCGTCGTCATAAATGCCCATCTCCAGGAGGGTGTCATTCTTTTGTTCCAGGCGGACCACACCTAGATTAGAAGATGAGGAGGGAGTAGTGGTACAGCTAAATTTGACTGAGTTTGCTATTACACCCCACCAAATGCAAAGCTTTTCATGACATCGGTCCCCCAGCATTAAATGCACCGAACAATCATACAGTCTCACCTTTCCAGTTGTAAGCTCCCGGAGCCCCAAAGATGAGGTAATGGTAGTCCTTGTCGAAAGTGGCTGACATGCCCTGCTGGCAGGAGCCAAACATCTCGTGACCTCTCGGCCTGCTGTCGCAAAAATGCCAGCTTCCTCCATCCTCGCTGGATAGAGGGTCGATTTGCAAATCCTGACTCAGCACGTAGCAGCGGCCAATGATGTCACGGGATTCGATGGGGCTATTCACATTGGTCCTGCGCTCGTATCGATGGGCACAAGTCTACATCGGGGAAAAAACAATTTTCGGTACGGTACAATGTTCCGCCACGTCATCGTGGCTCATCGTTTGCACCCCTGCTATACATTTTTAGTTTGGAGATTTTTTTTTTTTACTGGAATCCCCTCGTACATGGGCAAGGAGAGCACAGTTTCGATGCACTTTTCAGCCATCTACGGCACAGCGGGGGAATTACAGTATTTGCTCCGATCTCATTCCAGGTGTACCTCTTGAAGTGAACCCGAGCGACAGCTATTCATACGCATTTTAACCAATTTTTTTTATTCAGTGATAAACATAACTCATTCACAGTTTTTGTTCTCTTTTGTCTGGAAAACTGCAAAATAGGAATTGGCTTCATGGAACTATATTGAAGTGATCCATGATGTGAAACCATCTGTAAGACGTTTATTTTTGATTATTGAGTTTGACCGAAATACAATAATGTCCAGTACTGTCACTATTTGAACTCCTTACGGTAACAGTGGCATGAACTTGTCAAAAAAAGTTTGGTTGTCTTACCACAATCTTGCCTCCTGGCCCCTGACTGTTGACCGTCACTCCCATCCACTGGTTCTCTTTGCTTTCTCTCTTGGTGTCCTCTGCACAGTCAATTCATGTGAAATTACTGAAAAAGCTCAGAGAGTAGTTGGGAAAAAAAAAACCCTCAACTCACCGTCTTCGTCAAAATTAACCCGCACGCAGCCTGCAGAGGGTGAGCTCATGTCACAGCTGTAGAGTCCCCCCGTTATCGATGCCTTTTGACCGCTAAAGCCTTTGGCTCTCGGGGCTCCGACCAGTAGCCTGGAACAGACCCAAGTTGGGAATATATTAGGAAAAACACCATCTGTGGCTCCATCAATTGCGCACTGGGCAGTGTAAGCAGCTGAAACTGTCATCTTCACTCTACTCGCGCTTCCTGTTGTGTGTCGCATTCCGGCCTTTAACACAGCGCCCGATTCAAGGATGCCTTCTATCTCTGGCCGCGCACACACAGGGCGCCCTTTGTAGGTTGAGGATTTGAGGCAAATGCCACATGGCGTTGAACTGTGAGCGAGGGGAGTGCTATCAAAAAACAAGGATGTCATCTTTTAGCCGATGCTTTTGTTCGGCCCGCGAAAGCAAATCAAGCATGTCAAGTTCCACGAGGCTTGCTAAAAACTAAATTTAAAAGTGTCATATGTAATCCACAATCACATCGAGATATTGCAACCATTTTCTCGTGACCAAAGCCCTTATTGCATGAACGTTAAAAAAATTTTGGAACAAGCCATTATTGTTAATTTCTGATTTGAAAACTAATACAGCGCTGACATGATGCGCTCGTGGATGACCCACCGTTTCACTGACAGTGACCCGCCTATTAAACTTATCATTGAGCAACAGAGGAGGAAGCCCCATGATGCTGTCTCAGTCGACAGGAAGACCAAAGAAAAACAGAGACGGTGTGTTTGTGTGTGTGCGCTGGAGTGTTTTCACACAAACACGCACACATACCATAGTGCAGAATCACTGGGACGCCAAGGCCAGAGCAACAGAATGACCATAACAGAGGCATCCCAAAGAGAGAGGTGTAATTTATTCTTTTTTTTTTTTTTTTTTTTTTTTTTTTTAAACCAAAGCAGGCCTTCCGGGG